GATAAAGGTATATTGCTGCATAAGTAAGGGAAGTTGACGATAGAAAAGTTAAAGTCGTCACGTTTATCACACAATTACACACGTCATGTTGATTATCTTAATGTCTACTTTATGCCGAATATAACCACCATTTGATGTTTCTATACTCTTAATGTGAATGTTTAGATTTAACTTGTGATTCTGTTAATTATCTTTATAAAAGTATTTCACTTTCCTCAAACAAAGAAAATTAGCATTCAATTTCTGAAAAAGAAAAATATGTTTTGCTTTATAAACTACTTACATTTGATTCAAAGCAATTGAAAATTAAGTAAAATATTTTTCAGTTTAAAAAGCACACTTTATTAAAGCTACGTTTAATATTTGTCGCTTAGAAATGTTTAGTAGAAATCATCATTTATACGTCAAAATATGTTTTTATTTTACCCCATAGCTTCTCATATTGATCATCGTTATTCGTAGTGGTGGTGTTATCAATACAATCAGTCACTGCCATAGTACTTCAAATCCAGGAAAATAAAACTCAGAAAGGCATAAAAGAGCAGGATGTTTAGAATTTTGAACTTTTAGTCATGCAAGGAAGTTGTCCGTTATTAAAATTGTCTGCAAATTAATGATATTTAAATTTTTTGTAGTGTACAATGCTATGTGTATTAATGGAAAGTTTCCATTAATACACATTGGAAACAGAGATATTTTGTGATATAGAAGGTGATATTCCTGATTCAAGCAATTACCAAAACCTAATGCATTAGATTTTTACCTTATGTATACGTAATAAAAAAATAATGTAACAGATCTTTTAAGAACTTGTATGAGTAAAATATATGGAGATAAGAAACAGTATTCAAGCTCAAAAGCAACCTGGCTTTATTATTAACGTGATATCTTTATCTTTTCAATCGCCATCTTTCTTTGCTTATGCAGCAGTATACCTTCAACGCCTGTATACAAAGTTTATATATCTCAGTTGATTCTATACGCAAGAACATGTTCTACGTATGTACAATGTTAAGGTGGTGAATTGTTGAAAAACAAGTTTATGAAACAAGAATATTAGTAGTCTCGTTTAAAGTCATTATTTCGTAAGTTCTATGGTCGATACAATGACCTTGTCAACAAATACAATTTATCATTGACTCAAATGCAGACTGATATTTTTATACTATGAAACTCAAAAAACATCAGAAGTGGGATCTGGTGCCTTGGAGGAGTGAGCATTCCCAGTCGATCGGACACACCCTCCATGTGCTTCTTGTTATGATCGGAAAATAACGGAAAAATTCCTCGTCAATTCAGAGTGTAGATAATGGACTAACAACTAGAATAAAAACGTCAGTCAGTATTTGACTCAATGATAAATTGTATTTGCTGACAAGGTCATTGTATCGACCATAGAACTTACGAATTGATTAACGACGTATTTTCCCCATTATTTCCCGATGATCACAAAGAGGACTCGGCGGGCATAACCGGTCTGCAGGGGATGCTCACCCCTCCATGGCACCTGATTCCACCCCTGATGTTTTCCGTGTTTACTCTGCTCCTATTTGTATTATTTTATGAACCTTTTAGCTTGAACACTGTTTGTTATCTCCGATATTGTTCTGTAATTCATCTATTGTGTATCTTAATGTCGAGCTGAAAGCCAGTATTTGTGTATTCTTCTAAAATAAACTGGATGTAATTGGTATACATTGGACTTCTAACAAATTGTTAAAAGATTTAAGCTCTATGTCCAAAACCACAAAGATACTTGACATCATTCACATACACAAGCATCTTTTAATGAATAGTTTCGTATTTCGTAAGTGTACAATCAGAATGCTTTATGCAATAATTCAAAGATTTCCGCCACTATTGAAAAAGTAGTTCTTTTTGACATATTCCTGCATGTTTGAACTTGACAGATTAATAAAATATAGACGAGTAAATAATATTGACCTTAATTGATATAAAATATAGAATACTTCAAACACCTAGAGTACCAGGAAGACCAAATCTTTTGTTGTAAGTGTTCGAACAGACGCCATCTAATTTTATGCAAATTAATATATCACTCGCACCTTCAATATATCCACGATATATTTTAGTTAAATATAAATCATATATCATTTCCTTCCTTGTTCCCCTTTTATAACGGTTTTCAGAGTTGTGTTAAAGAGCTGAATTTACTAGTATCATGTTTTTATCCTCTTTTATTTCCAAAGAGTCTGAAATCCACAATACCGCGTACATTGAACACCGAGAACTAAATTACAATATTTAAAAAATTTCGTCTTAGCCGAATTACATGTCTCAATAAAATAATTTTTCACATTGGTATATCTACATTTCCATATATAAATAAAACTAAATGTCTAAAGAAAGTATAAATATGTCTGCTATTGTTGGAATAGAGCTGTTTATGAACAGGTCTATTTCTGTTACGTATGCATAGTGTATAGAACTGCTAATGACTGATTTGCTTTAAATGTAAAATTGCAGTTTTAACAATGGTATTGATACTTTTTGGTGTGCTCTGATTAAGATTGCTTTGGTACAACATATTTGGACCCAAAGAACGCGTTGCTTTTGTCTTGTACGTTAAGAATACTTTTCTGTTTTAATTAAGAATGAGACCCCAGTATTACATTGAAGCATTGTTCTTCAAGTTGCATCTTGTACCTCTCAGTGGAAATAAGGATTACAAAGATAGACGACTCGCAAACTGCAAAAAACACACATCATTTTTAAATGTTTGAATGTTTCATTAAATATACTTAAATTGAGGGTTTTTTCTCGGTGCTATGTTCATATTGCGTTTTATTCTCTGTGTGAAATAATATATTTTCAAAATAGATAGATAAATCTAAGTGGCTTTTAGATACATAAATGTTAAATAGAAAACTATTAAATGAATAATTCAATTATGAATAGAGTTTTGTCCGGTCTGTTAATACAGTATATATTGTATCATTTTCAAAAGCAAATATGATTCATGATATGTAGAAGAAATGAGCATTATGAATAGGTTTATGTATGTAGCTGTGCAAATAAGGTACTATTTTTTCTATATAAAAAAAACATCAGTGAAAGCACCTTTATATGAGGAAGTCACACCATGTGTTAAACAGCTGTCCTTATTAAAGACAGGTCTTTTTAATATATGTGTATGTTGTCTTTGCAATTGGTTATTACGCACCAACTGAAATACATTAATAAATCTCACTCAAAAATCTATTGTCTCAAATTGTAAGCTCTTGAATTATTGCTTGAAAGAATAATCAGCAAAAGAAACTCTCTCAAAAACCTTATCTCTGTTTTGAACAAAATGTTTTTCCTAGAATATTTTGTCACAAACCAGTGTGTGCGAAAAAGCTAAATCCACGAATGGGCTAAATCGGCCTAATTATTGTAGGAAAATTAAAGTGAGGCGAAGAAGAAAATTATTTATGGAAATATTATCCTTAGAAATCAAACTTGAATAGTTTACGTCAAAATTTCCATTTGATGACGTCATATTTGTGCAGAAAACGTTTAAACATGTGCACTTTGCAACTTTTTATCAGAATAAAGTTTTTTTTGTCTTTGGTTCAAATTTTTGCTGTGGCCACATCCTTTGAACAAAATAAAATATATACTGTTAAAAAGAAAATCAAAAATGAATAGGGCGTAATTTTATTTTGTTCGAGGGGTGTGGCCACAACGAAATTTATACTTTTTGTTCGATTCAAATCTCTTCGCACCGAACATCAAAATGGAAATAATGAGCTTTCCTCCAAGCATCCTTTAGGATGTACAGGATGAGGGCCTTTCTATGTAATGATCCTGAGGCGCAAAAATGGTATCATATAGCATTTTCCTTCGAGCCAGCGAAGCGAACCCCATGTTTAAAGAAGATAAAATATCTGTATGACGTATGTATTATCTGAGTACCTATAGTATATAAGGCACAACTCCACGTGCCAAACCATTTCTTAAAAGGAATGTTTGTGACAACTCCACATATAACTTTGGTGGGAATTTTGTATCCATGCAGTATTATGGGATGGGTATTTGATACCCTTTTTGAGCCTCAGGCTCATTACATAGAATGGTTCTCATCTTGTACATCCTAAAGGATGCTTGGAGGAGGGTTCATTCCATTATATGCCTAATAAAATAAGAACGTGATTCACAAATGTTGGCCCAACAATGGGCCAATATTTTACTCCAAAAAATCTTTCAAATTAGTGGTGACATGCTAAGAACAGTGGCCCAACGTTGGGCCAACGTTGTGTTCCAAACCAACCTCGGGCTCTGAGTCAAATAGTGTAATGTTGAAATTGACCCAACATTGGGGCAACGTTGTAAACCGAACGCCAACCGTCGGCCAACGGTCCAACCATAAGCCAACTTTGGGCCAACGTAGTCATGCTATCTGGGATAGAGGAATATGAAGATAAGAAACAGTAACCACATTTTAAAATAACGCAAAAATACATAAGGGGAACGTATTTTCTTTGCCCCGGTAGTCAAAACGTATTTTGAGTAACTTTAATTCAATTGCTCAGCGTAAAGAAACAATAGCGTCAGTTTCATCCCCCTCCCAAGGAAAAACAAAGTGATGTTTGGCAATGTTTTTGTTGTATACATGTACTTATCTTAGACAATTGAATTTTACATAACGTTAATCAAAATGTTCTACAGAAAAATTATATTGTAATAATCAATGTCATACGTATTTTTTCTGGAAGCGTTTTTTTTTTTAATGAAAATCCATAAACAACAATACATAGCTGTGAAACGCACAAAACAAATGTAGGATCAGGTGTTTTTGAGGCGTAAACATCCGTCATGAGCGCAATGTAAAGATCAGATGGACCGAACACCTAGTACCAAAATTCAGAAAAAAAGAAATGTTTTATAGTTACGGGATCATTCAGTATTTGCATTTTCATATTTGTCATCTTTCCAATTCACACAGGAGACGGAAAATAAAATCTGACATTTCAAGAATCATGTATATGGAAGATATTGAAGATGTAAATATGATTAAATTAAACAAGGATAATCGTCAGTTAAGATTAAGGAACATGCATCCTCTCCCCAAAACTCTGTTCAATATTTTACGTCGATGCTAGGTTTATAGGAAAGGGCTGAAATTCGAAGATAACGATCAGTGATAATGCTCAAGTGTCTATTAGAGAGTACACACTGCAAGCAAATAGGATATCAAATAATCTAGTTGAGTATTTGTGTACTGTTTTATACCCATTGTGCACTTGAGAGGGTACAGCAGAGGGTACAACAGACGTATGTGTAGAAGTACCTTCTTTATAGTTTTCTTCAAGGTAAATAATGACCTTGAACTCGCCATCTGAAAACAAAATGGAAATGATAAATTAATTTTTAACTACAATAGACAAAAACACTGGTTTGTACATTTTGAATTTCTGTCAATTACAAAGCAATTAAAATAAATTCATACCAGATTCCTTGCATCAATCATTGAAAGACTAATTACAAGAAGCGTATTCTGTAATTGAAGCTCCTCTATACACTAAGCGCTTAGTTGGCACAGGGAATTCTGAATAGAATTAAGAATTATATTTTTATTAAATGCATACATACATGCATGAAAATGAAATGAATACATGCATGCTTTTATTCATGCACGATAATTATAGTTTAGTTTGTACCTTCCACATCACTTGACCAGCTGTCTTCAATCATATATTTTTGTCCTGGTGTCAATTCCTCAAAAGATGAACTAATCTCATTCAGTTTTACAGGACTCTTACAAAACTGGCAATGTTTTTGATGGAAAGCACAGTCTTGAAACAAAAATGTAATTATACATTGTTCTTTATTACGTCATTTGTTTGGGGAAAAGGAATTGGTTGCATATGATTTTGATTTACCTGTCAGTGAACATGTTTCATTTTCTTCTATTCTTAGACTTTGCAAAGTTATGACACCTTCAAAATATACATAAGAAAAGTAAAACTTAAAGTTTTGCACATATTCTACTCCGTTTATCATTAAAATTTGGTTCTTGAATTTAACGTTTATTGCTTTTATTTTTTATATAAAGAATATCGAGAAAATGTTTCTTAACTTCTTTTATAAATACAAAAATGGCGAACAAGGCCCCTAAATTGTACATGTACATGTGTATCAGTATGATAATGAAAACTAAGTAATTTTTCAAATCTTTGTTCTATTGTCAAATTTAGGCAAATGGATAAAATCAAATCGTAACCAGAGATATCATTTGTATTTTACTTTTTAAAGCAAGGTAAATGAATTTCATTACCCCACGTCAGCTCATATTTGGCTTTTCCCAGCCATGTATTATTCTCTTCAACGTCATCCTCAGTCGACATTCGCTGATCGTTGTTTGCACAGATTTTGAAGGACTTAATCCATGTCGTATCTATTGAGAGTGCGAACCCTAATAAATAGCTGAGAAAAAGCAACAAAAAATTTTCAGTTTTAGGAATTAGGAACTATTTTGTAATACTCTCAACTATTTACAGTAAACATGGTCAACCATGCTTAAAACGAAGTTAAAGGAACAGAGGATTTTTCTTTGCTAAGAACGTTATTCGTAAAATATGTTAATTAAGCTAACAATTTTAATCTAAAGTCGAGGGGAATAAAAATCACTTCGCTGTAAGTATAAGATTAATTAACCGTGTTCACTATAAAGATGTTTTATTGTATTTTCATATACAAATAATCAATCATCTTCGAACATTTATTTCATAAATAGTGAACAAACGGGTTGCAATATAAATGTTATGATCAAACATGATATTAACATGTCTTCATCTTTTGATTTTATTTTAATTGTCAGCATCACATTGTAGAAAGGACATATGCCAATAATAAATATTATCGCAATACATTAAATTACTTTAGTATGTGTTGCGAAATGTCAGCATGATCTAAAATATTCTTACTGATACCACACCCAATTTTATCTCAATAATAAGGTTGTTGTAGTCCTTTAAATTATTATTTACTATTTGATTAAAGCATGTATATGATTATGACGAGTATTCATATGAAACACACTGAAGGAAATCATCGAACAAATGAACTTACAGATAATAATACTATCTACGTTTCGAACAACGCAAAGCTTATATGTAAGACTCTAAAGTGCAATGGTGACGCCAAAGTCCGATGGTCTCGACAAACCCCTATGGCTCGATGTCTTTACGGACGCCAAGGAGTGATATTCACACCAAAGTCAATAGCTCGTTTCCAATGAGACACATTGCGCTAACATACAATGGTTTGATACGCCAAAGCCCGATGGTACGGACCGGACGGAGGAACAATCAATGTTTATGACGTCACAATAGTCCGACGCCATGTCATTGTCCTGCATTCAAAATCCAATGAATCAGTATTGTTTTTTGTTTTGAACATATTTTATTGTCAACATGTCAAAGGAATTGTACACAAGTTCCAAAAACTTAGATATTCCTCTCCCATACATAAAATAACTAGAGATATGAACTACGGTTAGTCCTTGCACACCACTCGATTGATAAGGTTTAGTCCTTGAACACTATTGGATGGATAATGTGTTTGTTCGAACCCACCCGAGAGATTTTTAGGTTGGCTTAGTCCTCAAATGATTTGGATTTGTCCAGCACCCGCCCAAGATATTTAGGTTAAAGTTACTGAGAATTACGCTATTTCGACTAATAAAGGTTTGTCTTGTGCCTACATTCAAAAGATGATGGTTAATTTTTGCATTTAATATTTTTTGAATTTATTTTAAGCAATCGGGCCTTGGCATGGCGCGGCATCGCATTTTTTTGCAGTAGTACTATGACATCATAAACGTTAATTGTTTTCCGAACCATCGGATTTTTGCGTGTCAAACCACTGGAGCTTGGCGCAGACCATTGTACTTTGGCGTAACCATCGGACTTTGGTGTCCTACATACATTAAAGAAGTATTTACAAACCTGGCAATTAGAAAATTACGTATTTCCATTTTTCCATTGAAAATTCAATCATCTATTCTTTATTCAATATCTCCTCATTTATGCAAAATTCTGTTCGAGTACAAATCATAGTTCTCACTCAATGTTATTTCCTGTTCTGTATGACATTTTCCAAAAATACACTTACGCCTAACGATTTGAATAAAAGAAGGATATGGAGATAACGAACAGTATTCATTATCAAAGTCCATAAAAAATACAAAATAGGTGCAGAGCAAACACGGACCTCAGAAACATCTGAGGTGGGATCACCTGCCATGGAGAAGTGAGCATCCCCTGCTGACCGGTCAAACCCGCCGTGTGCTCCTTGTCGTGATCGGGATATAACAGAAAATCCGTTGTCAATTCAGTGTATAAATAATGGACTAACAATTAGTATGAAAAACGTCAGTCAGCATTTGATTAAATGATAATCTGTATTCGCTGACAAGGTCATTTTATCGACCATAAAACTTACAAAATATTAACTTTTACTTTCCAGCATGGATCTGGGTGACTTAATGGCTTAAGTTGACATAATATAAGGTTGATACAGACATAATATACTTTTATATGCTTTGCTATAATTTGCTCATACTTAGACACTTTACCATAAATTTATTTGATGGTGAATTTTGCTTCATTATGACATACATATTTGTATTTTACTGCACTCTACGAAGTGGCATTTTACTACACTGTATTGATATTTCATCAAATCAATCTACTTTTAAAAACATTGACTAAGTGAACTACCTGAAGACGATATTCTTACTTAAAATACTATACGCCATACATTGTACATACTCGTACAACAATATATCTACATTATCCATACACTCAAACACTGTCTGATACTTTTACTTTTATCGTATACACATTACATGAGGAAACCTATTACGAATAAAAATTTACAAGAAAGTTCTGAACAAAGTTCTGTTTCCATCTCAGGTACTTGCAGGAAGACTTTTCTTCACCACACTCATCGATTGATTCATTAATCTGTTCTGAATCTATAACTGACATAATACATTTTACTGTCGGTTCACAAAGTTTCACATAACTTAATTTAAAATAAAATAACTTAAGGTAGCATCTATGTCGGAAAGGTCTTTGTCACAAGATGTTCAAACTTTTAAAAATGATAAATTAGGAAATCGTCTTAACAAGATTGACAGGGAAAAGAAAGGAAAATCATAATTAAAGTGAAAAAGAGATCGAAGAATAATAGCTAAAAACCTTAAAAATAGATTATGTTCCCAAGATTTGATAGAAAACAATGGCAAATAAAGATTTTGATTACTGTATAGCAGGTTAAAATCGCGGTCGGAAAAGATCGCGATTTGTTCAATTTCCAGCAGATCGCGGTCGTTTGAATTCGCGGAAAGGTAAAAAAAAATACATTTTTTACACAGTACTTACAAGCATGTTTCTTTACGTATATATTATGTGAACTGTTATTTACAGTCTCTATCTTACGAAAGTCTGTTCATGTATATCGCGCATATCAGTCAGGAAAGGCAAGTCTATGTATTGTGTCAATTTTGAGCCCGATTGAATAATAACGAAAGACCGGACTGATCCCAATTTGAAGTCAAAATAATGTTACGCATTCAGAATTTTTTTTTTGTTTCCGAATAAATAAAATAAATAAATAAAAAGAAAATATATAGAGTAGTCAAATTGTTGAACTTTTAATCATATTATTGAAATAAATTAATTGTCTTTACCCTGTTTACTACGCATGTGCCTTGATTAAAGGTAATGACTGAGTGATTCGCACTGTTGAAAATATACAAGCTTGTTTTGTTAGATAATTATATTGCACGTCTACTAGATGGCAAAATTACCGTAATCTTTAGCTATAGAAATTAATTTAACACTTTATAATATAGCTTTAAAAACATCAACAACTACGTGTTTGTAATTGATCCATACAGCGATACACTCGCATAATTATAAAGACTGTCTACATCTAATCACAGATGATAAATTTCAGTTTATCCTTATAAATCTTTTCAAGAATTTATTCACTGTATGTTGAATTCGCGGAATTTGTTTTTCCGCGAATATAGCGAATATTAACTCCGCGAGTTATTTTCCTGCTGTACAGTATACTAAAATTATAGATTTCTTTAAAAAATAATAATACGGAATCAGCACAATATCAAGAATATTTGTATGACTTTGTTGCTGATAAAATTTAAATTATTTACGTTTTTCTACTACGCGTCAATACACCAGGATGTTAAACATCTAATTGACATTTTTATTCACAGTATTTTTTTTACATTTCTTTTCGTATTATTTCTTGTACTAATCTGAATTGAAAAATCCAAAAATAATTACAAAACAAGAGGCCCATGGGCCACATCGCTCACCTGAGCACTAAGGGTAGGAAAAAGTAGAAAATGGCTTTTTATTGTAAAGTTTAAATCCAAAAGTAGTCCCATGACCAATCATGGATATGCTATTTTTTAAAAAAATGATTTTTAAAGAATTTTCCTCTGTATATCTTTAAAAACTCTGGTCGGCCATTTTGGCCCCGCCCTACCCCTGGGGGTCATGATTTGAACAAATTTGAATCTGCACTACTTGAACATGCTTCCATATAAATATGATGAATTATGGCTTTGTCATTCTTGAGAAGAAGATGTTTAAAGAATTTTCCCATATATTTCTATGTAAAACTTTGGTTGGCCATTTTGGCCCCGCCCTACCCCCGGGGGTCATGATTTGAACAAACTTGAATCTACACTACCTGACCATGCTTCCATATAAATATGATGAATTATGGCTTTGTCATTCTTGATAAGAAGATTTTTAAAGAATTTTCCTATATATTTCTATGTAAAACTTTGGTCGGCCATTTTGGCCCCGCCCTATCCCCGGGGATTCATGATTTGAACAAACTTGAATCTACACTACCTGAGCATGCTTCCATATAAATATGATGAATTATGGCTTTGTCATTCTTGATAAGAAGATTTTTAAAGAATTTTCCCATATATTTCTATGTAAAACTTTGGTCGGGCCATTTTGGCCCCGCCCTACCCCCGGGGGGGGGGGTCATGATTTGAACAAACTTGAAACTACACTACCTGAGCATGCTTCCATATAAATATGATGAATTATGGCTTTGTCATTCTTGAGAAGAAGATTTTTAAAGAATTTTCCTAAATATTTCTATGTAAAACTTAGGTTGGCCATTTTGACCCCGCCCTACCCCCCGGGGGGGGGTCATGATTTGAACAAACTTGAATCTACACTACCTGAGGATGATTCCACATGAGTTTCATCTTTCCTTGCCCAGTGGTTCTTGAGAAGAAGATTTTTAAAATTTTTCCTATATATTCCTATGTAAACTTGGGTCGACCATTTTGGCCCCACCCTAGCCCCAGGGGTCATGATTTGAACAAACTTGAATCTACACTACCTGAGGATGATTCCACATGAGTTTCATCTTTCCTGGCCCAGTGGCTCTTGAGAAGAAGATTTTTTAAAAATGCCATTAATTTTTCTCTAATTCATAATTATCTCCCCTTGGAAAAGGGCGTGGCCCTTCATTTGAACAAACTTGAATCCCCTTTACCCAAGGATGTTTTGTGGCAAGTTTGGTTGAAATTGGCCCAGCGGTTCTTGAGAAGAAGTCGAAAATGTGAAAAGTTTACGGACAGACAGACAGACGGACAGACGGACGCCGGACAAAATGTGATCAGAAAAGCTCACTTGAGCCTTCGGCTCAGGTGAGCTAATAAAATCTAATTTATTTGCTAAATGGTTATCGATATTTTTAACTATTTCTCTTTTACTTTTTCCAGTAGTATCTGTACATGCTAACGTTTTAACGATAATAGCTCATCCATATCGTAGAATCACCAACAATTTTTTTTACGCTGCGATCCTCATCTAATGCTTGATGTGTATTTAGTGCCGTCCAAGACCTGAGTAATTTCTAAGGTATCCGAAATACTAACGACTTCATAAGGAATGCAGATTTTAAGATACGAAACAGATTATTTAAAATTAAAGGAAGAATACAGCAAGGAATAAAAACGGCCTCCCTCCAAATTGCAAACATTCCGTCATTAAACCAATACAGTAAATATACATTTGAATGTGATGGCCAAATATGCATTGTACAGTATTGCCCTTTTCACATTCTCGACTACATGCATATTATGTTTTCATTGAACTAAACGTTATTTAATATAATTATTACAAGAACTGTCTTCACAAGATGGATACGTCAAACAGTGCTTACAAAAACAATTTTAAAAACAGCATAAATAGGGAAAAGGAGCAGTATTCGACTAAAACATTGAATCAGTACACACGCTTTTTTATGGGGAGCTTATTTTATTCCGTCAGGTAGTCAAAACGTTTTTCTCCACACGTTCAAACTTTGGTTAATTTTGAATGAAGGTCATTTTGATTCAATTTTTTGTTTGTTTTCAAATCAGACTGATTATAAGTTGAAAGATATTGAACATGTAAATATGTATTAAAAAAGTTTTTTTTCAGTTAAAGTGAAGAAATACATATTCTTTTGCTTACTTATGTTTAACATTTTACATCGATGCAAATTGTATAGGGAAAACTGATAAAAGATCTGTCTATTCCAAGAAGCTAGTTCAGTATAAGTGTACCTTTGTATCTTCTATGGTCTCATGAGAGAATGCAACGGACATAGTAGTACCTTCGTTATCAATTTCCTCAAGGTAAATAATGACACTGAACTTGCTATCTGAAAACAAAATGGAAAACATAATCGAAGTGGACAATATCACTGGTTTGCACATTTTGAATTTCTGCCAGGCAAAGTAATTTAACGAGGTAAATTATTGACAAGCAAGTTGATGAAACAAGAATATCAACAGTCTCGTTTAAAGTCATCATTTCGTAAATTCTATGGTCGATACAATGACCTTGTCAGCAAATACAATTTATCATTGAATGAAATGCTGACTGACGTTTTTCATACCAATTGTTAGTCCATTATTTATACACTGAATTGACGACGGATTTTTTCCGTTATTTCCTGATTATGACAACGAGCACACGGCGGGTGTGACCGGTCAGCAGGGGATGCTCACTCCTCCATGGCACCTGATCCCACCTCTGATGTTTCGGAGGTCCGTGTTTGCTTGCTCTTATTTTGTATATTGTTTAATGGACGTTGAGATTGAATACTGTTCGTTATTTCCATATCCTTCTAGAATATATTCTTACCAGATTCTTTGCATCCATGATTGAAAGACTTATTACAAGAAACATGATTATTCTGTATATGAATCTCCTCTATACACTAAGCACGTAGTTGGCACAGGGATTTCTGTTAAGAATTTTATAAATATATATCTTTATTCAATTTATATACATGTATACATATATGAAAATGAAATGAATACATGCAATTATCGATCCATGTACTCTAATTATAGTTTTAATGTATACTTTTCACTATTCCTGACCAGCTGTCTCCTATTGTATACTTTTGTCCTGGTGCAAGTTTAGTCCTTAATTCCTCAAAGGATGAACTACTCTCATTTAGTTGGACAGGACTCATACAAAACTGACAGAGTTTTCCTGAGGTACCACAGTCTTGTTAAAATACAAAGTATTAGATAAATACCCCGGTATTTTGTTTAATGAAATCATTTATCTAAAAATGAGTTGT